ATGACATATATACCTTATCCCATGAATCAACAATGCCAGCAAGGACAATGTTTTACACGTGTTTCATGACATAATACACACACTCGTAACCCCCCTGGTTGTTTCCTCGTCTGCAAATTTAAGCAATAATTACATGAGTACACACATGAATGTAAATGAAATAAACAGGTAATCGGGCCACTTATATTATGCAAGATTCATGAGGGTTTTCTTCTAACATTGTTCATGATATTCACTTGTTGCACAACACTATACATAGAAAATGAATTAAACGTATTATGCGATAAAATAATTACAATTACCAATTAATAAAATCTTTAATTTTATTTTCGATTTTATAATGTAAGGAACACAATGTAGTTATCGTATTCATCCTAAATGATATGATGATCAATTGCCAATGACCAATGAATAAACACGATAATATATATAACTAGTATTTGCTAAAACAAAATTAAAGACATAATAGATAAACATCAATTACAAAATTACTTACTCATTGAGAACTGGTTCTAAGTAACATTCTTTTCCTCTCTTATTTAACTGTCTTTTCATGTACTCTTCAATTGCTTTTAAATCATTAAATGCCCATCAAATCCAAAATGGATCCAAGATTCGATAATTATTCGGTTTATCTAACTCTATACAAACACGATGAATGTACCTAAATGGTTAAATAAAATTAAAAAATTAAGGGAGGAAACACAAAAAATGATAATGTTCTATAATGACATGCATATTCCATTATATACTTACATATACCAAACTTGTAATATCCCTATGTTCAACCACTTATATCCAATGATAAAATCCCTTACACCCTCAGAATTATAATAGAAGAACTGTGACGATGGAAAATGTTCTAGCTCAAGAGATTGTGATTCATTCATCTTTGCAACGGATAAGTACAACGTGGTAATCTTATTTGCAATAGGATCCATTAACTCATTGCAGTTTCCTGGAGGGGGGAGGGGTTGAAAAATTACTTCCTTTGGTGCTAGCACGAAGTACAACACTTCTACTTGTAAAATGAGCATCATCACCACCAACATTATGTTGATCTTCATTATTTGTATGTTGTTCGATGTTTCCATTTATTCTCTACATCATAATATTCAATTAGAACATAAAACAAATAAGCATAATATATATCATACAATTCCGATAAAACACTAGTATCTCAAATAAAGCACATACCGTATATAACTCTTATAACTTTTCTATATCCTTTTTCCTTCTTTCCTTCTCCCCTTCTAACATCCTCCTTTGTTCTTCTAACTACTTCTCAAAATTCTCAATTTTTTCTCTTTGTGCTTGAAATTCCACACTTTTGGTGTTTTTCTTGCAGAACCAAAGTATAACCTCATGCTGACACCTTCTCCAACACCACAAACACACCCATCATGCTCATCTGTTATCTTCTACTGATATATCATGTCGTGATTCGGGAACAAATGTGCCTTCATGAGCCACCTCAACCAACTTATCCTACACAAAATGAGCAACTTGCATATATTGTTACAAAAGCATTTAAATAATAAATAACATAATCAAAACAAATAATACTTATAATTTTATTAGAAACTACTCTTGACGCATCTGTGGCGTACTCTCCATTTGGTCTTAGTCGAGCCCTCTTCCACTTCCCATGTCTTGACGGTGGAAATGGGATGCGGTCATCTTCCGGTTCTTGTTTTTTTTTTCAGGAATGATTCTTTTTCTCAAGTTTCCTATAACCCCCCCCCCCCCTCCCCCATGATACAATCTATGGGGGAACATGTGTTTTGCCTTGTTTTGTTGTCCTATTGCGCTTTTAGCCTGTTATTCACATAGTGAAAAATGTATATGATTAGTATTTATAACTTATTAGCATAAAATTATCGGATAAATATGACTACTACTAACCTTGAATTCCTTAAAACGATGGTCCTTTGCAAACTTTTTTCATTGCTTCTTCGATATATAACTATATCTTATCCATGGACGAGCAAGATTGGGCTTAGGCTTCCTAATGTACTCTCGCATGAGCCGTGACTTAAAGCCCCTCTAACAAGTACCAGCATAAGTGATCCACTATTTTTTCAACTTTGAGTCATCGATAAACTAAAATTTTAACTACATTTAAATTAGTAAGTATTAGAATCTACCTAGAAAGTGAAATTGAATAGACGAAAATTAAAATTATTACCATGACATATGTCAATATGCTATCTTTGATAGCACTTGGCACTTGTTTCCAATCATCTATCAATATACTGACTTTGCTACGTGCAAGTAACACAATATAAATCTTAAAAGTAGAGTAATATTCACAATCAACTACTTTGTAGAACGAATTAAATTTGATCGACTTTTTGTCACCTGAATTGTGGACTTTTGTAAATTCGGGCATCATTGTGACACCTCTTTGTGATCTTTTAGTTTGAGTATCATTTGTACAAGAATTGTTTGGATGATTAGTTTCTTCTATAGTAGATGGAGAATTTGACAATGTCGACATCTATGTTCACAAACAACAACAACATAAATAAATAACAACAACAACATCAAGAACATAAACAACAACCACAACATAAATAACAACAACAATAACAAGTTCTCTCATCAACAACAACAACATTCACAATAATGGAAAATCAAAGTTACTGTAGATGCATGGGGAAACGTTTTACGTACCATAAACGTGATGACTAAGTAAAGGAGAATATTGGGTTGGTGTTAGTGTTGGTGTTGGTGTTGGTGTTGGTTTTGGTGTTGTCTTACTTCCCGATAATGACGATGGTGTTGGTGTTGTCTTCCTTCCCGGTGATGAGGATGATGTTCGTGTTGTCAACCTTCTCGATGATGACGACCGTGTTCGTGTTGTCAACCTCCTCGATGAAAATGACCAGTAAAGAGTGACAATATCAAAGTATTAAACGAAAAATGAATGATAAACAATATTGAATGATGGTGTTAGAATTGAAATCGTGTATCATTTCACAATATTGAAGGTTAGAGTTGTTTCATCTTGTTTCTTTTTTTAATGGAAATATGGAAACTGAAGAGACAAGCTAGGTAGAAGTGTATAATATTTAAAAAAGATACCATCGCAGTCCACACTCTAAACCGTAATGATATATTAATTGCATAATAAAATTTCATAAAGAAGCGTCATTGTTTAGCCATTTAAATATTTTAAATAAAAAATAAAAAATATCACAATGAGCTGATTATGGTTAAAGTAATAAAATACATGAGCTGATTGAGGTTCAAACCCATGAAATCTTTACTATATCACCACGGTCATTTAAGTAACTGCTATTATATCCTAACAATTATTAATTAACAAAAAATGTTTGCGCCAGAGTTTAGAGATGTTACTACGGTGTTTAGAAGAATTGTGGTGACTTTGGCGTTGTTTGCGTGTTTTTTAGTAGTTCCTTTAAATAGAAACAACAAGAGTGGATCCTATGGAGTATCCAGACGTGAGAGTGCTAATACCTTCCTCTTACGTATTTGAATCCCTTACTCAAGATTTGGTTGCGAGACGATGTTCTTTCCCTTTTAAGGTTTTCTTTGATGTTTTCCTATCCCTTCTTTGGGATAAATAAATATTTAGTGGCGACTTTGTTGTTTTGAAGTATATTTTTTGGGTAGCTTCAACACTCACTTCTTGTGAGGCCGAGTATATCGTTCTGTCGTTGTGTACGTGCAAGTTGCATAACTTATGAATCTACTGGAAGAGCTGGGTAGCAATGTTGGAGAAGCTGCCACACTCTTAGTTGATAATTATCGTTATACGAAATATACACACAAACAGATTCGTCGTCGAATGTTATTTATCCTAAGAGAGGAAAAGGAAAACATCGATAAAACCTAAGAAAAGGGATGAACAAGGTCTCACTACCAAATTCAGGTTCAAGAGTCAATTATATAAGGGGATGATATTAGCACCCCTCACGTTCGTTATACTCAAAGGGATCCACTCTTATTTTTCTAATTAAAGGGTGTGTTATATCTAAAGCTTAATTACTAAGGAAATGCATGAATTATTAAAAGGAAAACAAAAGGTTTTTTATTATTGAGTTTGCCAGAGTTTTACAATCCATTTCCTACGTATCCCCAAAACGAATTAGAACTTTGTACTTCTTGTTTAAAAATTTTTGTTTGTTTTTTTTTATGGACGATGCTAAATTCGCATTCTAGCAGTTAATGTTGTTGCTCGACCTTTGGAGACTCACATGTTATTGTATTGTGTAGAATGGAATTAACATGTCCTTTTTGAAAGGTTTTCAAAATAAAATCCATAAGGCAAAAAGATTTGAATTTGTTGGAGTGTTTTGTTAGGAGAATAGATTAAATGGTCCTCCAAGGTTGGAGGTATTTGATTACTTCTCCTTTAGTTTTGAAAGTGTTCAAATATGATTAAGTGTTATGAATTTTTTATCAAGAAAGATTTTTTGTCTTTTTAAAAGAAAAGAAAATGCTATGCAAAAGGAAAAACAAAGCAAGGAATCTCGATCCTAATTATTGTCATGCAAGTGGCCCTAGAGTTGATTTTAAGGGGAAAACTTCTAACCTAGATGATTTTATCATGCATGTGTTGTAATCGGTTTTGAAATGAGAGTCGCCATCATTAATTTTTATCCTAGGAAAGAAAATATAACAGATAACCTTAATTTGGTTATAGATTCTAAGTTGTTTGACTCGTTCTTAGATGAAGGGAATGTGTTAAACACCCCTCATCTACTTTATTCACAAGGATACTAGAGTTTAGAAGCGCAATCTTTAAGAAATGTGGTTTTCTAACTTAAGGACTCCACCAATTAAAAAGAGAAACTTAGCTTCAAGAATTAAAATAACAAAAATGAAAACAAAACCAATATAAACAAATAAATGAGAAAAACAAGAAAGATCATCCAAAAGCCTTTTCTCTCTTTTTCCTTCGACCACACTCTCTTCTTCTTCTTGAACCTTTCTCACACCCTCTTCTTTCAAAATTCCAAAACCTACTCCTCTTAAAGAATTCTACACCAACAACATAGAAGTGATATCAAAAGGCAGAAAAATGAATTAACTGAAGGTAAAGCGGCGGATCCGGAGGTGGTCCTCGGAGGTGTCGCGATCAGAGAACCGTCGGCTGTCAAGTCGGTGGCAGACTGGTGTTGATCGGAGGTCCCCGGAATCGTGATGGTCCGATGGAGCTTCGGTCTTTGCCGGTGATGGAAGAAGGTTGTGCATGGAGGGATCGGCGGCTCGCAGGGAACTTTGTACAGAAGTATTAATATTGCGTTATTGTTTTGAAACCGATTCATCGAAAAGATTGTTAATGTACAGTCTCATAAATTTGGTCACAGGTTGTATTGAAAATTTGTATGATTTATAATATTTATTTTTTGAAGAAAAGTGATAGATATCAACATGTCATTAAAAAACTTTTTAAACAAAAGGTTATTCTACGGAGGTTTGCGATTGTTTTGGTTAGAAATTGAAAAAAAAAACTGGTGATGATGATGTTGCCGGAAAAAAAATTTATTGATTGAATACGGCATAAAGTTTTTCGTAGAATTTTGTGAATATTTTGAAAATGTATGGATGAAGGATTAATATCTAAGAACTAAAATAATGTATCGTATCCTGATTAGAACGTGAATTTATAAAATTTCTATGTGATTTTTAGTGTAAAAAAAAAAACCATCAGCTAGTCTTCGTATAGTTTAAATAGCAAACAAATTAAAATTAAGAAGAAGAAAATAAAAGGGAGACCTCAATTTTGAGGTTGTTGTCTGATATTCAATACTCTTATAATAAACAAAAAAAAATAAGAATTCTAAGAGTTTGAAAAGATAGTAAACTTGGAGGTGAAATTGTTAATAAATTCTGGATGAGAAACTAGGACAACAATAGTCCAATTTATAGAGTTAAATTAGGATAAGAAGAACTTAGCAAATAAGTTATCCAAAAAGAATGTAAATCCTAAAGTCTGATCTCTAAAAAAAGAAAAGAAAATTAGTAACAAAAATATAGAAGAAAAAAAATGCGACACAAGAGATTTAAACTCACGTCATCATACTTGCAAGCTTCATTCTTTACCAATTATGCTACCTTGTTTATTCAAAATAAAAATACTTTTGAAAGCATACGAAAGTCAAGCAGATATTTATTTATTCAAAAATACAAATGATCTGTAATAAATCATTTTATTTTTAAATAGGTTTGAAAGCGAATATATATATACCATCACGGAGACCCATACATTTCACCTACCAATAGGTGAATGTACCATCACGCTCGAGGATGTGTACATGCTACTGGGCCTCCCTATCGACGGTAAGGCGGTGAACGGGTCGGTTCAACAACCCAACTCACAGTGTGAAGAACTGTTGGGTAGGGATATGGTAGAAGGTGGTGGAGCAAGAGGGCATGGAATACTACTCACTGACCTGAAACGTCATTATGCAAGTATGGAATTAAATGAAAATTCCTCAGAGAATGACCGAGTAGTAAAAGCCAGAACGTATCTTATGATACTTTTTGGTACATTTTTATTTCCCGAAAGTACGGGAAATAGTGTAAATTTTATGTACTTACATTTACTAACAAATTTTGAAAAAACTAGAAAATATAGTTGGGGTTCTACAGTATTAGCCCACCTATACAGTTTCTTGTGCAAAAACGCAGTCAAGGAAAAATGTACATTTTATGGGTGTGCAATTTTACTACAAGCCTGGGGTTGGTGGAGGATGGAGTCCTTAAACCCCATCAACAACAACACTTTTGGTTTCCCGTACGCAACAAAGTAAGTCATTAAGTTATAGCATTTATAACTATTCTGCTCTTTCCAAAATATATGCTAAAAATAACATGTTTCTCATTTCCTTTAGGTACTGCGTGAGGGGTATGGATTACGGCAAAAATCCAAGATTAAATGTCGCACTCTACTGGAATCTGTTGGATCACTTAGGCCCAGATGACGTACGTCGTAGCTTTTAACTTTTGTTCATTTTAATTATTTATACATTACTTTTGTGCTAACCTGATTTAAATTTTATCGCAGTTCGTCTGGAGACCATATTTGGGTTTGGGCCATGCTCCAAACCCAGAGGATGCAGCAACTTGGACTGCAAAGACTGCACTCATTCGGTTCAACATTGTGGAGATACACCACAGCGACCGTGTGAAGATGCAGTTCGGAATGCATCAAGAGATACCAAGTGATCCAACAGATTTGTCCCCATGGCATCTTAAAAGGGTCGACGCCCAGTGGGGTCTTACCAACTGGAAAGACTTTGCTCTGGAATGGTGTAAGATGTGGCAGAGGCGTCACCGCTACATCTTGCAATTCCCGGTTTTCCTTACTCAAGGTAACATGCGACACACGGATCAATATATGTCGTGGTACTGGTCGGTTAGTAACCCGGAAATGCACGTGTCTCATCCAAGGTACTTGGTTGACCCACGCACACAATGGGCACAACCCTCGATTCCCCATCAACAAACCCAAAACCCATCAACCTCCAACCAACCCCCAAGAAGAAACAGACCCACAAACACCCAACCACATTCCCCACCACAACACAACTACAATCAAATGCCGTACTACCAACCACAATCACCACCAAACTACCAATACCCCGATATGCCTCAAACCCAACCACAATACCAACCCCAATTCCAGCACACCCACATACCCCAGACACAATTTCAGTCTTCCACATATCCCAATATGGCGCCCTCAACATCCAGCCTTAGCCCTGATATGGGAATGTCGGAAGATTATGACCAAGCCGGCCAAACCTACCATCACCCACCATATCACCAAACCACCCAACATCCACAATACCAAACACCCCAAGATCCATTTCCTTTCTACCCCCCATACTCAGACGACCAATGCTACCGACCAACCATGGAACCCCACCCACCGCCAACACGACCAAACTTTGAGGGTATGGGTAACCGACTGTACCAGAGCGGATCTTCGAGATATGGAGATATTACTGATTTTATGGATTCGGACCGCATTGACTTCGCTAGGCCATCGACCTTGCCGCAGCAGGAAACGCGACGGCACCCAGCAAGAGAAAGGCGAGGACGGGGATGTGGAACCGGGGGTCATTACCGGGTTCCGGGGGATCACTGATGTATCTTTTTTTTCCCAGTATTTTTTGTATCCATTTTTTTTACTGTTCTTTTAATGTAATACAGTTGAATGTAATTATTTTTTTTTAATAAAAAGTCCATTTTGTTGATCTCTGTCCAATAGGCAACGCACAGGAAAAAAAATATAAAAAAATTTTTTTGCCCTAAAATTACACTTAGGCGCTATCTCACTTGGCTTAGGGCATGCCCTAAGCACATAGGCGCCAAGTGAGATGGCGCCTCCCTTAAAAAAGGAGGTGCATGCGCCAATTGAGATGGCTCCTCCTTTGTGGAGCCATCTGAAACATGGTTATTTGCGTAATTTTTTTCGAAACCCGGTTATTTGCGAAATATTATTTTAATACATGGTTATTAATAAAAAAAATTCAAGAAATCAATCAAACAATTATTCAAAGATAAAAGAAGTAATATTCCATATTTTAATATTTTTATGATTTTTATCATGCAAAGAATTAAAGATCTCATGAGAAAAAAAAAGAAGTTAAAACAATTAACCACAATGACAGAAATTAAAGCAAGCAATAAAAAAAGAAATAACTAAAAGCTCCACGGGGTATGAAAAATGGATCCAGGGGTGTACAAGAAGCAGGGCGCAAGGCCCACATGCCTGAGGTCTACCAACAACTTTTTTTTGTGTTCAAGGCATAGGCTCCAAAAAATGCAACAGACCCAACAAAAAATGTGATTCGGTCCAATTTTTCATATCAACAATTCCATTATTCAGCTGCAGATTTTCACATTTATTATTATTGAATTATAAAATTAACAAAACAAATTATGTGAAAAAAAGATGGAAACGTGTGTTTAGTGTTAGGGTAAAAGTGAGTAACTGCTCATCTTCTTCCTGAACAAACTCTTCTCCTCTCTTTCACTTGCAACGACGCACAAATCCTCCCTCCTTGTCTTCTTCTCTAATCCATACGTCGTAAAGTTCTCAACACTGTCACACATGAACACGAGTAATAGTCTTCGCCTTTCCATAGCCCACTCTCGTTCGTTCAACACTCAATTCACCCCCGCTCAATCTTCTTCGCAAAAGCTTTGTTATTCACAACGCCGCTTGGCCTTTCCTTCTTCTCCCCTTCCTTAAGTTTCCCCAGCTTCGACTCTTTCGACGTCAATTAACTTTCGTTCACGATTTCACCAACATTCTCATGGTGCCGCTTTCATAACATCTTTATCTCATATTCGTTCTATTTCTCTTCCATCTTCTAAGTCGAACAATAACACAAGTCGCACACCACAGATTTGTAGTTCCTCAAGCCATACTGAAAACAAGGAGGACATTAAAGATTTGAAGGCTTACCTACCAGAAAAGTTTGGTGCTTCTTCAACGGTGATGTTGGTGTTGAGAAATCCAAAGGAAGCTCCACAAAAAAAAACGGGTACGCATCATTTTTCTATGAGTTTTGTTTCTCTTTCTCTTCAAAGCTCTTATTATGATTCACCTCTTCTTCATTTGTGTTTCCGATTTTTTCTGTGCGTATGGTGATGCTGATTCACCTTTTTCTTTTTATTTAGGCTCATAGCCAGTCGAGACAAAATAAGAGTAAAGAGTATTCAACTTATCTTCTTTTTCATAATCAAATTCTTCATAAGAATCACAACCAATACTTTTTGTATCGTCTCTGCTCATGCCATAGATCATTGGAGCCATGACGCTTCTACCAATGCTTCTAGAAAGAAATTTATGGAATGATTTGTCATGTTTTTTTATGACATCATCAGTGTTCACATAAGCTTCTATAAGAATTTCATTCTCAAGACTGGAATTCTTTCTTTTAAGAAAAGAGTAATCAATTTTAAGAATATAATTTTCTTCTCTTAAAGATAAAAATTCTTCCTTAAGTTTGATGTGTTATTTAGAAACAAATTCATGGTGTGAGTACAACTTCGTCATTAGATGTTTTGCATGATGTCAAAATTGAGAATAACTAGCACTTTTGTACATTGGACGGTATCTCTATGTCTTGTGGCACTCCTCTGTATTAGAGGTCTTAGGAATCATTAAAAATCGTTTCAAAATTGGTCCAAGTCAATAAAAACGAGTTTCTGTATAAATTTTCATTGCATGTGTCGACACATACGATTTTTCAGGTCGACATATGCAATTCAGTTTTGAAGCCTATAGCCTCTGGAAGGCTCAGGTCGA